GAGGAGGAGGAGGAGGAGGAGGAGGAGGAGGCAGTCGTTCCTACGATCGACGATGAAAGAACCGTCGCTGCAGTCGACAAACTCGAGGAAGTGGAATTTTCGGTGACTCTGATGGCGTTTCCTGGTAGCGGTACTGGTACCGGTGATGGTACCGTGGCAGCTGCGGCTGCGACAGCGGCCAATTCCTCTTCTGCTTTTCTAATCAAATCCAAATCGCTCAACGAGCTCAAAGTACTCTTATTCTCTTTCTCTTTCGAAACGGATTCCCAATGACTGGACGACGACGAGGACGACGACGACGACGGGGATTCCAACGTGGATTTCTCCGAATTGGAGGATTTATTCGATCCGCTGACCAAAGAAAGTTTCACAGCCGAGGAAGGATACTTTTCCGAATTTTGATAAATCGAACAATTCGCAGTAGTTAGGAACGTGGCGCTTGGCTTAGAAGGTAAATACGGGTCTACCTTTGAGCTTTCTTGTCGTTTCACGTTTGCCAATATCTCTTGTAGATTTGGCGGTATCGTTATGTTCGAGACCTTCTCGAGAATCGGTTGAGCGAGCTTCGAAATACCCGGAGGCGGTGGCGGTGTGAACGACCTCGTGTCCGAAGGGCTGTAAGCTTCTTCGCATTCGTCGCTGACTGGCGGATCCAGCCCTAAGCCCTGAAAAATCAACAAAACGTTAGACTTTGCTTTAATACTTTGCAATAATTTGTAATTCCATTTCGTTACCATACTATATATATATATAGGAAGAGGATGGATCAATTTTGTTTTCCTTGCCACAGGGCAGGGAAGTAAGGGAAGAAAAAAATTGAACGGTGACGTTCGAACTTGTTGCTCGAGAAAGAAATCGTGGTAAGATAATCGTTCTCACCGGCAAGGTAGGCGCCGATTCACCCACGAGAAACGACGAGCTGATACTCTGTATTTGTTGCTTCTGCTCTTCGATTTGTCTGTTCAATTCTTCCATCTTGCGCTGGAGCTCGGTAGAATTTTTACTGGAAGAAATGATAGCGTTATCGTCGAGTGCGGTAGCGTCGTGGAGCATACCCAATGAAGCGGACATCGGAGTTGTCGTCACTGCAGCTGCCGACGTCGAGGTGGAACAAGCTCGCAAGTCGAGGTTTGTGTCTTCCTCGTCCATTTGGCCGGGACTGTACGGCTCGTCACCGTCGTCCTCGAGAGGGACTTTGCCGGGAGAAGAGATCGCGAGATCGATCTTGGAGGACAACTCGGGAACTATTTTACATATGGCCGCGGTATCGAGCAGCGTGCTCCTCGACATTCCTATATGCGCTTTATTCAAATTGTCGAGAGTGGTCTGCGTGACGGGAGAGGAATGTTGCTTCTCTTTCGCAGACTCGGTCGTGCTGATCGTCGTCCCCGGCAGTATCTTGTGATAGGCGGTCGTTGCCGCGGTTACCGACGACGAGGAGCAAGGCGACGACGATACCGCCGAGGAAGGGGCTACCGACGATGGCGTTGCCGTGGATGTAACCGTGGCTGCGACGATCGACGCCGCGATGCCGCCGCCGCCGCCGCC